TTTTGACTTCAAAGGATACTCTTTATTCATTCTGGTCTTTTGATGGCATTATGTTGGTTATGTGAGGTTTCCAGTTTCAAGGGCAGGTAAATGGTATTAAGCACTGTGAGCAATGGATTACTCAGTCCAATGTTTTCCCTGTTTGCGCAGCAGTGCAGCGTGGGTTTTGAAGAGGAAAGTGACAGGAACTCATAAAAATGTCCTTTGGTTCCAGCATTAGCGAGGCCGACAGCATGTGCTGTGACTCTGCTGGCAAAGTCTTCAGTTCTACTTTGTAAGCCGAGTTTTTCCATGTACAAGTCTGCACTTTTGTGCCTTTCTGTAGGCATGTCGTAAACATAGCTGCAGAATGTTATTTACTCATGACTACCTCTAAAGAGCAATTTAGCTGTATAAATCAAAGCTTGCATCATATTCCAATTAAATTTAATAAAATGGGAAACCCTAATTATGTGCTGCTGACTGTGGTTCTCGAGCATGAAGATCATGTGTTTAATTTGGAGTGCTTCTCAAGGCCTAATCCTAACCCCCGTGACAGTGGCATTTGTAAGAAGCTGCAGAATAAGTTGGAAGTAGATTTACTGAATATAGTACAGATTAAACTGGCACCGAGGAGAGAGAGAAGTCAAGCTTGGTGAACCCTCCTCCAGCGCTTTTTCATTTTTGGGCTGAGAAGCATAATCCAAATATATTGCTCTGAAATATCACATCTTACATATACTGTTACATCACTGGCTTTCTATTCAAATTCTACATTGCCTGATAAAGGACAGCAGAGGTTGGGTTCACACACACACACACACACACACACACACACAACCACCCACCCACCCAAGTGTTTCTCTCAGACCTGACTATCTGTTATAATTGGACGTATGTCAGCCATCATGGCGGCTGGATCAATAGGTATGAGAAACAACTAGGGATAACAGCAAACATGACACATACAAAATATATTTGTTTTTGTGTATTTTGATGGTAGAGGCTCCAAAAGTGTGTGTACGTGTGATGCACAGAGATTTTGTTTTTGCCTGGCGTGTCTCTGAGCAGAAGCCTAGGCTGCCGCTTTCATCTGCTGTCTGTCAAGTCCTGGTTAAAATCATCATTCCAGCAAGTATTAAGCTGACCTTCAAACCTGAGTCCTCCAGGCCAACAGACACGCTAATTAACGGTTCGCTCCATAACTTCACAAAGTAATTTCATTCCCCGTATGTCTGGCTCTAGAATGGACTCGGCATACTGAGATGCAGGACTTGAAAGTACCCTGTTGGGTCACTGAATACTGCCCGAATAATGCATATAAAGTAGCTCACAGTCAACTTTAACTTCCTCCAGTCATCCAATAAACATGTGCATAGGAATATGCCCTCCTCCACCAACGTACCAAATTTGAAATGTTTTAGCTAAATGTGTTTTTTTACCATGAAAATCCATCTCCCTGTATGCCCCACAGCGACTGCATGTACAATCACAATGCTTTGTGATGATAGAAATGTGAGGTGGGGAGAGCACAAGCTTTGAATCAGGAAACGTCACAATCTCCACTAAAGGGATTTCCTGCCATATTGTTGAGGCTTAACTTTATACTGAAGTTAGTAATAACGGTACGATAGAGCATGTGCTCATAAAATAGGACACCAGACACACATTTCCACCAGAAAGCAATCTGGTATGTTGATGCTGTGAATACTGCACTTTATCTGCCATCTGTGCCATATACTTCCAAGTGATATTTTCATAACGTGCGATTTCAAAGGAATATTAGACAGTTATAAGTCCTAGATATTATTATTAAATATTATTTCCAGTCCATTTTATCTGTAGCATGTCCTGTTCTTGCTGGAATTTATAATTATTCCATGCAGTAGTAAGACCAAGACAGTACTTTACTATGTAGACCGGCCAATACAAGTTAAAATATGCATATGTCATTATTCTTGAGAATAATAATTAAAGAGAAAATAAGGTCATCTTCTTATTGTTAATATTGATCAGACAGTTGTTCAAAATTTCCAACAGATTAAAACTGTCTAATATGTGCTTCAGTCTCTAAATAAATTACTCAATTTAATACGTAATACATTGTCTGTTCTTCACACTGATAATCCTTCTCCAACAAAGCAATTAAAAGTGGTGGAGTAAATCAACTGGACACTTTTATTTTTGGTTGGATGACAGCTAATTAACATCTAAATATGTCAGTGCTACATCAATAAGCATATAGTGAGAGATGAATAATGAATGAGAAAAGGCATTAATAAATGAAATGACAAGTAAGTAAATGCTACTAGACTTTTGAAAATAGTTTTACTAATTTGTGCATACATTCTCAAATATGTACGTCATTTAAAAACACAATGCTGAAATACTGAATTTCCATAGAATCATTGTAATAAAAGGTACACTGTCTGGTTTATTAAGAGATAAATTAATTGTGCAATTTAAGGGGTTTTGTTAATCACCTCAGACTGATTGATTAACAAATAATTAAACACAAAGCACGCCTTTAACAATTAGGGGGCACACTACAGCTGCCATAAAAAACTTTGAATATTAGAAAACAGCTTTTTCAGAATAGCTTACCTGATGAATGAGAAAGCATATTCACCATATAGTAAATAGAAGAGTTTATTTGACCAGGCTTTATAAACCTGTTGGTGTTTAGCGTATCGTCCAGGGGTCAGTTTAATAATGACTCCACATCAAAATGTAATTCTCCAACAGGTCTGTAATGTCATTCCATCCATTTAGGCAATGTGCAAAATAAATAAATAAATCTTCTGTAATCAGGACATTATAATCAGAGTTGAAATCATATATACAGCTATGATGTGCTTTAATAAAAAAGAGGTCATTTGGCATGCTGATAAGAGGTTCACTTCAACATTTCCAAAAAACTCTGATACACACTTATTGCTGGTGTGCCATTGTGTGCCTAAGGTTGCTGACCCTTGCTGTAGACATAAGCAGCTTTTCTTTTATTAGCAAACTAGCAGATTGCTCATTTTTAGACACATGCTTAATCTTTTAATGGTAGGAAAATTGAGAAAGTTGGTCCTGATTGTGATACTTACTATTGTGTTGGTGCAAACATGATAAACCATTTTTATCACTGCTTACTGTAGGGGGAAAACATGAAGATTTACCTTTATATTAGGAGTTCTTTGGCATCAGTGCTCCTCTCTCTGATGTGTTCAAGCAACACTGTTTCAAAATGTTCAGTTGAGACTGACTGAGATCAGTGTTATACTAATACCAACTGATGTATTGAGTAGTAGCAGCTCTTCTGTATTTTTATGGGTCTTCTCTCTGGTTAAATAACTCCTGTGACCATCTGCCTTCGGGCTCTTCCTCAGTGCTGTGGCCATGTTTGAGCCCAGCAGGGTTAAAAGCAAGGTACTTAACAAACATGCTAATTAAACATTTTATAGCCCCTTTTTTTTTCATCGTGCTCCAGATCACATTATTTATTATGAGTAACACCGCTTTCTTTATCAGATAATGCTTTAATTTGGCCTGGAGAGTTAAATTGAGTCGCCTCAAGTGTTTTGGTTGGGGATGTGCCAGGATCTTAGTCTGAGGTCGACCAAAACACTCACAAAGACAAATTACTACCCATATTTTTAACTGTCAATAATACACTGACCTTGTCACTGCTCTTTCATGACCACATCAGTCACCATTTATGGGTCAATTAAAATGCCATTCTAAATGATTTGTCAGTTAGTGGTTTGCTGGTCCCTCACAGCTCAAATGAAAGGTGAGGTGAATAAGAAAAACATGGTTCAGAATCACTGAGTAGCCGGTGTAAGTGTCCACAATGTTCACTGAACATAACTTGAATTGTTAAAGTTCTACTGTTCTTGTATGCGTCAATGATGCATAGAGAGCACCATTCAACACGTTTTAACTTGTTCAATATGTCAAATGATATTTTGTAACTGTCACTACACCATCAAAGTCAGTGCTGGGAAAATAACACCAAAAACCAAAATATCCCAACAAGTCCAGTTGGTTCTGTCAAATGTCACTGCAGTATTGTTAGACGATAGTTAGGGACTTGTAAAAACATAACTTGGTGATTATGGGATCGACAGACAGCCTTGTGTTGCCTGTGACAGTCGATGAACCCATTCACACTTTACCATCTATCATCACCTCTGTGATGCTTCCAAAATGAGTCCTCCGTGTGGGCTTAAATTGGCCAAGGACAGCACAGATGAAAGATAGCCCATAATGAGGTTTCTCCCTTAGGAATCAATGTTTAGCTTTGTCCCAGGGGCCACTGAAGGTTGTCTGTAAAATCACTCTACTGCGGGGTCTTAGCCTGAACAGCCAGCCTATCTATCACCTTGCCATCTTGTTGATGAGCAGAAGTGTCTATACAGTAACAAAGGACATTTTGGGGCACCCTTTGGTATTGAAAAAATTAATACAAGAGCTGTATCGGTGAAGACTTGTCATGCTGTGTCTTCTGCTGGCAATGCGTGTTACCTCCCTGATCATTGCACTGCATAATCAAATTGGCCTTTGGGAATCAGATGACTTTGTGTCTGCGGGAGATAATGCAGAATATGATGATCAGCTAAACCAGGCTTGACCTTGTGTGTCGGTGTAATCATCCCTGGATTGATATGAATCTGTGACATCAAGGATAAGTCCTTACAGCTTCTGACAGCTGAGAGCAAAGAGTGCAAATCCATAATCTTTCACATGTTTTACAACATTTACTTTATGTCTGACCTTTATACTGTAATTCAAGAAGCGCTCTGTGAAGCTAATTATTATTGAAGCTTAATTGAGTAGGAGTCTAAGAAGTTGTAGAGTAGAACTTTGCCAAGAGTGCAAATGGAGGGTGAATACAGATGTGAGTCTTTACAATTGGCCACTAGCTTGAAGGTGGGAGACGGAGGGAACCTGATTTGTATGATATGCACATGTCATGAACTGTGTCTGAATCTAAAACATTTTCTCTCTTTTACTTTCTCCCTTCTCTGCAGTCCGTCTGCTTTGAGGCCAGGCAGCTGTGTGGGGCACCGGGTGTGGATCCTGCTGGCCATGACCCACCTCACCCTGGACTTCTCCATGTGCAGCCCCCTCAGCCAGGGTCTGGGGATCAAACTCACGCCTAAGTCGGTGCCTCGCTCTCGACCTCGTTGGCAGCCGCTCTGGGACACGCCCAACAAGATTCACTGGAGAACAGTGAGCCCATTGGCCCGCCGGCTCCTAAACGCTGTCCCTCCACCCCAAGACAGCAGGGCAGGGATAGGACCAAAAGTCAAGGGTCAAAAGCATCGGAAGCCAGTGCATAAAGGACAAGCAGCATGTAAGGAGTGCCGGTTGACATACTCTCAAATGGAGACAGGTGATCCTTTGGCTGTAATAGCTGAAGCTCCAGCCGCTTTATCCAGTGGGAGCAGAGGAGACACGGTGAGGTTGTTACTTAGAGCCAGGAGGCAGCTCAAATGGGACAGCTATGACAAGTCTCAGGAGGGCCGGACTACTACAGTGGCCGGATTTATCGACTGGGGACCCACAGGGACAGATAGCATAGATGACGATGGCAAAGCGGAGCCCAACATAACGCTGTCCACCAGGGTCTCAACCACCACAGTGGCCACAACCACTAGCACTACAACCAGGCTCTCCCAAAGGACGTTCACTATGGTGACCACACCAGAGTCCAAGACGCTAAGCACCACCAAGGCCACTGTCAGCGTCGGGGAAACTGTCAAACCACCAAAGCCATATGGGGAACCACCAGGTAAGACCAATAAAATGCATATACAAAGCTAATCATCTAGTATTAATTGCATGGTTAATATGAGTGACTAAGCTAAAGAAATCCCTGTTTTAGTTGCCCTTCTTTTTAGTCACACTAAAGAGAAGACTTACCCCATGTCATCAATACAAAACAGATACAGTACTGTGAGGATGTTCCCTCAAAGTCAGCAGTGTCTATCTATCTGCCTTAGGTTTTCTTCTGCAGGTTTACTTTACCAAAACAATAGCTGAGACAATCAACAAACTAATGAAATCAGGACTGAAAACAATCATTTTTTGTGCTTGCACAGAGTCTAGATAGATACTGCAGGCTTTTACTCTCCCGAGTTCATATGACTTGAAAAATCTGTATAAATATATGGGAAATGTGTTACAAATTCAGAAATGATGCTTTTAATCTATGTTTGTCATGGGTCTTAAACTGTATTTGTCTAAGCAGACACTGTGGGGCTTGAACTATCATTTAAAATATACTAACTGCTATTATGCAGTTGCACTTTTATTATGCACCTGACACCTGTTTTGTTTGCATTTGCAGTAACTTAATACAGCAATATCCTGAGAATTTTACCGCATGCGCCCAGTTTGTAAAACTGTAAATATATAAATACTTTGATCAGTAGCCATTCTGCGCCCAGAGAGATGCTTTTCTGGGCTGGATGTTGGCCACCAGTTGAAGACCCCTGATGTATGCCAATGGCCAATATAAATCCACAGAGCATTCTACACACACTGTGACAAGCAAAACAAAACTACTGAATCAGATATGTTCCCAAAAAAGCATCAACAGAATGTTTGCCGTTGTGGAAAAAAAAAGTCTCCATGTAAGAGGAAACTTAAATGCTAAACAAAATAATATCAGTTGAAAGGGCACACTGGTCACACGGGGGAAATCCCCATTCACCCCTGCCCACAGGAGACCCAGGGTTTAATTGCCAGTAGTGGTACCTCCAGCTTGGTTGTGCGTTCCAACAAACACAGTGGGAGCCGGTGTGGGATAACATTTAACATTGCACTATAGACTTCTACTGGACGGTTGGGGTGCTTTCGTGGGTGTTATCCAGGGGGACGTTCCTTACCTTTTCACTGTAACACATAACTAATGATCCAGTAATGATCTGCTTTTTATTAATATGATATTACAGCTGGGGAAAATAGCAACTGCTTCACATTGAATGCCCTTGACCATAATGTGGCTCTCATGCCTGAAATACTGTACATGGGCATATGTGGTTTTTATGGATGGGCCCTATGTACTGGTCCCATGCAAACCTCCCAGCCAGGCATAATAGATTTATCATTTCATTAAGTCCATGAGGAGCACCAGCTTTTTAAATGGACCGTACAGGTAGTCATAAAGCACAAGTCATGTTTAACAACTTATGAACAAGCACTATGCTAATTGAAGCTTTCCCATTTGGTGCATTAATATAAATGTCATAAAATTAGGCACTAAGGGTGATCAAAACTCTTTGGCCACATCCTATTCAATTACAATGAAAAATGTCTTAAGACACAGAGGAATGTGGGAATGGGAACAAAAATGTACAGTAGATTTTAATGTTAGTGGTATAAATATATGTTGTGCTGTGGTGGCTGAGGTGAGTGGTGAAAGTATAGTGATGTGAAATGATATGGCAGTATGTAATTGTCTTGTCAGTGTTGTTTTGATCTCTTCATTTTCTCTTGATTGGGAGGTGAGTGTGAGACCACCTGTGATTCAAAATGATAGCTTGATATTGTATCCTGGAGGAAATCAGTCACCACTGTTAACTGAAAGCTGATGAGGAAAAAAAAGGTCTGATTTTTCCAACTGGGTGCACATTGTTGTATCAATAAGCAGACTGTGTCTCATCAGAGCAGATGAATAGAGTCACATTTCAAAGCAAAGCCTGGGTGCTTAACGGCTGCAGAAAACTTTCTTTTTGCCTTCACAACACATTAACCCGTGTCTGCCTCATATGGGCCCCAAGGCAAGACATAATTACCACACCGACAGCGCAGCATTGGATTGCTGATGAAATTAAACTATTAACGAAGCAGAAGTGCTTCACTTTGTCTCTGTCTCTTGCTCTTATCTCTCCTGCTCTGTCTTTGAGGATGTTTATGGATACATTACCTTCAATCTTTGTCTGATTAATGCAAACTTAGATAGAACAATCTTAATCAGAGTAAAGTGATAATCAGCTCACATAACAATTTAAATCACCAAGATTTATGCTTGTTTATGCTTGCGATTTATTATGGCATGTATTCAGTTGAATTTAGAAATACTTTGTCCCTCGAGAGAGAATTAAAGGGAGGTGGTTTTGCAAACAATTGATGGACGAGGACACACACACATTGTGCACAACTCATACATAATATATAATATAGAGATAGATTTATCGTCACCACGCATGAAAATCTGAAAGTTTTTTACTGTGCAAGGAAAGAGAGTTCTTGCGTTTTTCTGTCTTACATTGGTTAAGGGATTATTCTCTTTTTCAGTTCTGTTTTGGCCGTCACTTCTAACAGTTAGGAAAACATCACACTTGCCAAAGTCATTTCTGGTATCACGGCTGCATTGGGATTTAAGCAATGGGATTTTCATCCGTCTCCAGTTCTTCTTGGTTACATTTACACACACTGAAGCTTTTTTGATATCGGATAGCTATTTGGTGCCTCCAAGACGTAAACTGTAACTGAAATGTTATTTTGAACCTCAGAATCCTCAGGATATTCATAGTAGTTAAAATGTACACATCCTTTTAACAAACATTATTTTGAGTTTACTGGGCAAATTAGTTGACACAGTCATCTAAATTATACAGTAAATTCATGACGTAAAGTAACTGCCTCTGTCATCATTCGGTAAGGCTGATGCATTACAGCACGACATGTCAGTGCTTAAAACAAAGAGCTGCTTTGGCACTGCTGAAAGAAGTTTTCTGATTCATGCTCAAACAGATTTACACAGAGGCGTGTCAGCCTCCATTTAAGGCTAATTTTGAGAGTAGGAGTTTGGCTGGTGCACATGCACACGATGTCATGATAATTGAGATGTATTACACTGAAAAATGCATAACCGGTTCAGAGACTGCGTATGCATTATGTATGTTTACTTTTGTGTATGCACAGACTTTTTAGTCCTGAATCTACAATATGTTGAGATATAAACTGTGTGCATTTGGCATCCAGCTGTATGTGGCTTTCTTTCCATTGTTGTGTCTTGTCGTCCTCCAGGCTCACACTCGCTGTGCCAAGTTAACCGTGACAACTATCTCAGGTGAATGGTATAAGATCTACTTATTTTCATGGCGATGCTGACAAATGCCAATTTCGAGTATTCAAATACACACGTGGCACGCTGCAAAACATGCAACTCCATGAATCCCAGGTGATCTGTGCCCAATGTGAGGGGAAAAACCATCAAAATCATGGTCTTTAAATACTTGTGTATGTCCTCATTATTATAGCAGAAGCACCCAGCTCAGAGTAAACCTTGAAGAGACGAGCAGTTACAAAAAGTCTTCCGTAATCTGAGAAATCTGAAAGAATCTGCAAAGTGTTTGTCCCAGTAAAGCATAGGGCATTTTGCACTTGATAAATTACTAAACCAGTTATCAATAAATCCAACATTTGTTGTTCTGTATCTACTTATTCTGTTCAGAATAGTGAGGATGGAGCCTACTTTATTCAGTATGTGATGTCTGTTTTCTTATTACCAGCTGCACAAACTTGATATGACCTGTTTGTGTTTCCTTATACAACTGAACTGGAATACATGTTTAAAATATTACTAATTATATTTCAGCCACTTTGGCTCAGAAAGTACATATCACTGCTAGTCAGGCTCTCAGTAACTGTGAGATTACAGTGTGTGCAATAAACAGGCTACATGGACTAAGTCCCTATGACTCATGAATACTGTAGGCAACTAGCACAAATGCAAGCCATTAGTGTACTTTGTCTCAGCCACGTAAGGCATGTGTGTATCATGACCGTAATCATCTCCCGCTGTGTGTGTGGGGGTGTGAGCACATCACTGTCAAACATGGATGCGAATGCTTTTTTTGTGGAAGGATGTAGAGAGAAGGGGGAGGAAATGATTTCAAGACGCCTCTCTCATGCATAAAAGTACTGTATACAGTGAACAGTTCTCTGAATCTCCCAGTTTCTAGCTCAACTCTGCTCCAATGTAATCATTAATACATCAAATGACGATGCATCTTCGACAGTCTGCTGCACCTGTTTCACCATGAAGATAGAAAAGAAACTCCGAACGGCAAGCTTCAGAGCACACTGGAGAAGTTGTCAAAGTTTCCTGCCTCCCTAAATGAAATGTCTCCTCACATTTAGTCAGACACTCTCACTGCACAGTAAACACACGCACACACACTTTGGACCAACAGGCAGAATCTGATCATTGTAAGTGTCCTCATTATATTACCTGTACAGAGGAATTTCATTCACTCATTTCTTTCATAATATCAACATGTATGTAATACTGGCTAGGGCCATTATAGCACACACACACACACA